GAAAAAAGAAAAAAGAAAAAGGAAAAAAAGAAAAATTTATAATCCCATAAAAAAGGCAAACCATTAACAATTTATAAAATCTTCTATTTAAAACCCATAAAACATTTCCATATCGTAGCAAAGTCCATTTGTCAGTTTCCACCCATTACCTTCCATGACAGAGAATAAAAAAGTAATTCACCAGCATCTGAAAGTGTAGTCCAGAGATAGATCTTAGATATTAATAAAACAACAACAAAAAAGTAATCCAAAGAGGAGGAGAGTAGGAAAAAAAAAAACCCTTCCTCTTCTAAAGTGATCTAAGACACCGGACTGCAGCACTAATGTCTCTCATTCATGAGGCTCTCTGCATTTGTAAAGCACGATGTTTCCCAGCTGCCTTCGCTGTTCTACTCACCGGCTTTCCCGTGCTGGAAACCAGGAAAGGCAGGAGGAACAGCGTCCTGGGCTCTCGTGGTTAATCTTCTGAACTCCCCCTATCCAGGGGAGTATTTTGGTGGTCTTCTCTCCTCTAGACCCACCGCTGATCAAATGCAGCTCGGGCGCCCCCGGAGCTCTGAGAAACGCGTCAGTGCACTGTCCTGTCCGGGTGGAAGTCAGATTTACGATTTGTTTATGATCTGTTTTTATAATGGATCAATATGAAAATGTATAGACGTTGGCATGATACCTAAAGTTTTTACTAGAGTTGTCTGGTTTCTCTATCAGCATGGACTAGAGGTTAGTTCTCAGGGAGAAAACTATTTATTATAATAAATGGTTTGAGCAATGGTTGAATGTTGACAAAGAAGCTTGGGAGATAGAAAAGGCTATCAACACATGTTGACTGAGACTAAAAAAAGCAGGGCTGCTGCAAGCAGGTGTGCAAGTTGTGCTCTGCATGAAGGTGCCGTGACACCGGGGCACCAGGTGGGTGTTGTAGAAGTGGCATAGATGAAAAGTGGAAGGGGGATAGATTAAATCAACTTCTACTCCCTGAGTAGAAAGATGCTGGAAAGTGCTAGAGAATATTAGAGAGGGGATGGGGTGAAAGGGTAACTTGGCCACCCCTGCCCCTTTCTGGCCTTTCTTTGTGTTTTCCAGTACTTGCACTGGTGCCAGCAGGAGGGTACAAAAGAGGTGGAGTGGTGGGTGGGTCCTGCTGCACATGCTGTGCGGCCCAGGCAGTGGGGCTGCTGAGTGGTGGCAAAAAACCTTTTGCACAAAGGGGCCTTATAGGTCAGTGGCAAAAAATGAACCTTTTAATGTAAAGATGGGACAGGAAGATTTTAAATTCAGATGCTTAGGAATAAAAAGCTACTCTGGGTTTTAGCAAAAGATAAAACATTGTTCTCAGTATCACATCCTTGACAGAATCAAATTCATTTCTCCCTTTCTAATGCTAGCTGCAAATAAGCCACAGGAGAGAAAAGGCTTTATTTTACAGTACATATTTTAATCCTGTATTTTTGTAGATTATTATTGGTTTAAAGCAGTTACAATGCTTTTTAAATAGAATACAACTATTTCATTATTTAGGTCAGTTAAATTATCCGGTCAGTTAAAATTTATACAGTAGAAGTATTTGGAGTAACTATGAGTGGGTTAATTCAGTTCTAGTTAGGAGAGAATCACATCATTGTTTCCCATTTATGATGATAAGCATGATGTGTGGGAGTAGTTCAGCGTGTATGTGGGTGACAGTTGGCTTACTTTTTTCCTCTATAAATGCATTTTCCTTATTCATGGAAACTTTTAGCAATGGATATATGTGTGTGAGAGAGAGACAGAGACAGGGAGAGGGAGAGAGACAGAAAGAGAGAAAGAGATTTTAATTGTATGCTAAAATGTTAAGAACATTCAGTGCTTTTGACTGAAATATTTCAAAATTGCAAAAGCTATATCTATAAACTAAAATATTTATAATGACCTATATAGTGATGAGTGTTGGATTAGTGAAGCATCTTGATACTTTTAAAAGAAGAGTTAAGGAGCTATTTTTTGTCAGTTTGAATAAAATTTTAAGAAAAAAAAATCAGGCTGCATTGAAAATTGGATGACTAGAGGTCAACAGGTTGTAAGGCCTTTCGTCCTATCCATGAGGTGAAAAGACCTCTCCCATTGAAATGCCTGGTACTTTGCTCTTAAACCCATGCTTATGCTACTTAGAAGTGAAAAAAATCATTATGAATAGAACTTTGGCAGCTGGCTTAATTCCATTATTTCCATCAAGTGTTAAGACAAGATGTTTCTTAATAGTATAAAAATTTCCAGGACCCAAATTGTTTCAAATTCAGAACAGGCATTCCATGGAAAATGGGAAATGTATATTTCCCTCTCTCCCTTTTCTTGTGCTTTCTTCTGCTTTTCAGATTATTTTCTGTTTTAGTTATTTAGAAAATATGTATATGAACATGAATATTTTTTGTTCTTGTTTTAGAAAATGCTTTAATAGGTCAGTCAGATTTCAGTAGAAAATTAAGGGTACTTTGGTTATTTAAGTTTTAGTACATCATATAGTAGTTGTAAATAAACACTGAATTTTGATTATTTTCAGATATTCATGTTTAAAAGTACTTATTTTACAACATCTCATGGTAAATATAATATTAATAGTATTTTAAAGAAATGGTGAAATGTGAGATATTATTGTTATATATATTACATATTAAACAATATATAAAATATATTGTTTTAGCTTATAAAAACATTCATGATTAATTAAAAATAGTCAGTGATTAGATTATTAAAGCAAGCTGATTGACTTCCATTAATCTAAATTTAAATAGATGTTTATTGGCATGACTATATACATCTCTACTTATTTTATCTTTTGTGGTGCAGAATGAATAGTGTTGTGATGTCTGTACTTGTTTTGTATGTAATTAGCTCATATATTAGTTTAATTCATGTATTAGCTTACTTCATATTTTTAATTTATGTTATATTCATTTAGTTCATGTATTACGTTTAGTTCGTATTTTATGAAGTATATAGATATTTAGTAATGTTACAATATAAAAAGGTAAAAAGTTAAACTTCTGATATTTGCTTTAATATATACTACTGAAATTTAATATGGGAAGCATATTTTAGTGCAATAAACAAATCACGTTTCTCTGTGTGAAACATAGATTCTCTAACAAATTAAGGTAGACGGGCTGAAACAGACCAGCTTGGTTCATTTAATAAACAGCTATAGAGGAAAAATGGTTGATGAAATGCAGAGTGGGAACAATAAGACCTTCTCTTTATTTAGTAAGCCAACCATATACAGCAAATAATTTCTTTAAAAATGTGGAGGGAGGCCTGGGGAGATGTAAATAATGGACTATGGTTGTGGCAATATAATTTTATAACTATAGCTGTAAAGAAAAGGACTGATAGTTCTTGTCTCCAAATAACCGATTACACATTTCATGTTTTGCTTATATAATCATTATATTATTGAAGTATTAAAAAGTAACACTTTTTCCCTGTTTCATATAATTAAATTAATTTCATTTATCTTATCTTTCTAGGACTGCACAGTATATGAAACTGAGAACAAAATTCTGCACGTGGTAAGTAGCATTTATTGCTTCATCGTAGATATTAATAGTAAACTCCATTATCTAAATGTTAATCTTTATATAATCAAAAGCTCACGGGTCATTCATACAGCCTACTATACACAGGTGTTTTACCAAGGATAGGGCAAAACAAAGTATGACCCAAGTATGACCCTTTAGTGAAAAAAATAAATGCTTGCTTAATTCTGCACTACATATTGAATCATTATATAAAAATATAAAATCATGTAGAGTTCTATGTACCATGCACCTAAGGAAGCAAGGTACACACCGCTAGCCAATTCCTCCTTGCCAATCTTCCCAGTAGAACCACCAGGACTACACCAACACTATATCAAAACTGGATGGTGTGCCATACCCAAGAAGATGTGTTACTTTACTATTCCTAAGAAGAGTGTGGCTCTAGACCTAGTTCTGATCCTTGCCATCTTAACTACCTCTTGAAGCTCTTTTACTTTAAGGCTGATATCAATTGCTATTCTTTTCTACAGCAAGAAGCGTGGTTCATCTAATGATCTATAAGATGTGTGCTTTTATCTATGCATATTACGCTATCACTTCAACTTCCTTCACTTTACAGAAAATTGTGTCTTATATAGTTTTGCATTCTACCATTCCATCTAGCTACAGCATTTGGAGATTTATTCAGATGTATGGCTGTAGTGTGTATGTTTGCCTGCAAGCTATTTTCATTTCCCTATTCGCTCTTACATGGGATGTGTGCTTTTACAAATGTTTCTCCTTTTACATTATTAGGTCAGCTATCAGAAGTCTTCTCTTGTTCCTTCACAGATTATCCTGGTGGTGGATAACAATTAATACTACCAAGAGAGCTGCCTTTATTTTTAATTTAATTAATTAATTAATTTTCATGGGCTTATAGGCCAATTACAAATGACACTTAGTGGTGTACATGCCACTTCTGTAAGTCAGGATAAACAGTACAGTAAAGCTCAAAACATATCAAAATATAGTAACATTGACACAGCACCAAAAACATTACCTAATTAATTCAATCAAAACCATGAAGAAACTTTGCATTGCCAAGGGAACAAGCTATAGTATTCTAGCCACCAAGGCTGCTGGAATAACCACATTTTAATGGCCTTTCTAAAATTCAAGGAAGGGTCATTCAGTTATCTGTGGAGATAATGTTCCACAGATCAGAACAGTAATTGAGAAGGCTCACTTCTGTGGTTCCTTGAGATGGCATTTCCTGGGTGACACAGAATGAGGGATCTCACTCTTCTAGCTCTTACTGGATGGGCAAATACTACTGAGAGTTGATGGCCTTTCAGATATCCAGGCCTTGAGCCATGGAAGGCTTTAAAGATGGCAACCAGCATCTTGAATTGCAACTGGCAGTCAGTAGCAACCAGTAAAAGTGTATGAATAGTAGTTTTATAGGGGCTCATTGTGTTGCACCTGTAAAAACGTGAGCTGCTGCATCCTGGACCAATGTAGCTACCAAAGTTCTTCAAGGCAAGCCTATGTAAAATTCATTGCAGTAGTCCAGTCAAGAGGTGACTAACACATGAGTGATTGTGAGAAGATATTCCTGTTCCAGGAGGAGTTGTAACTGATACACAAGTTGTGTAAAAGTCCTCCCAGCCCTAGTTGCCACCTGTTCACTGAGCAGGAGGACCTCCAAGTTACAAGTCAGTTCCGTACGTGGAAGAACAATCCTTACAGAACTATAGATAGCATTTTTTTCTGGAATCATGTGGCTTCTGAATCCAAAGCTTCTCTATCTTACTGGGATTAAGCCTAAATTGGTTCTTCCCCATAGAGAACCTAATAGCCTCCATGCTCTGGAATAGCACCTTGACTGCATAATCTGTTTGGCCTATGTCAAGATTAAAACCTAAGTATTATCAGTATACAGATACTTAATCTCATGTATAACTAATGACCTCACCCAGCAGTTTCCTGTAGATGTTAAGAAGGAATAGGAACAGTGTTGAAAGGTGCAGCACCTAACAATCGAGGCACCTCAGGTTTAATTCCCCTTCTCTAACTGGAATCACACCTTTAGAAAGGAGAAGAATCATCAAGAATCATCAAAACAGGGCTTCTACTTCTATCCCTCAGAGGTAGTCCCAAAGGAAACCATGATCAATGACACAAAAGGCTGTTGAGAGATCAAGAAACATCAGGGGAATCATATTCCCTACCCTGATTTCACCAGTGCTCATCCACTATCAATATTATCTCAGTGCTGTGCCTGGGCCTGAAACCCAAACTGAAATGGGTCCAGATAATTAATTTCTTCCAGGTCTCTCTGCAGTTGCAAGGAAGGGAAAATTGGAGACTGGTTATCCAGGCTTATTATCCATGCTACAGGAATCAGGTATGTTCCCATAGTGATCCAGAATTCCTGGGTGAAGTGATAGCTTCTTGAGGATGGGGCATACCACTGCCTCCTTCAAGGCAGACAGCAACACACCCTCTTAAGGATGTGCTTATCACCATCCTGACACCTCCCCATCCATCTCTCTAGTAGATTTCACCAGCCAAGAGGGCAGAGATCCAGACTAGAGGTGGCAAAGCTGATACCATAGAGAATCCTGCCTACTTTCTCAGAGGTCAACAGGTTTAAACTCACATAAATAACCTTGCAAAACATGGTGTTGGTCACCTCATTAGGACTAGGCCACCAAATATTCAGCTCTGAGTGGATCTGATTAAATTTATTATCCAGATGTTTAGAAACTTTTTCACAGTGGCCTGACATATGGTATTCCAACCCTCCTTTCCTAATATGGTATAAGTCACTTTAAAAAGGACTGCTAGTAGCATTCTGCAAATGCAGTAAGAACAAAAGACATTGACATTTGCTGCTCTTAATTGCCATGGTGTAGATATGAATATGAACTCTTACCTGTGTTTGATATGCTTTTAACCTTCCACCAGCAGGTGTATAGGCACCCCTGAATCATTCGACAGGGTGAGGCCACTCAGGTGAAATCCTATTAAAGGCCATAGGTTCCTTCCTGATTCTTCCTTTCTTGTTTCTGCAGCAAGTGTCAATGTTGTGACCTCATACAGATAGCATCCTTCAGAATATAAGTGAAGGCCCATATCTTTGTTCAACTGCTAAGCCACATACAATCAAAACCTCTTTTTATTTACTCTCCCCTGCATGCACCCCCACCCCATGATGATCCTGCTACTCTATCCCTTCATGCAACTGGAAATCGCATCACTGTTAGTTAGTTGTATGCATTATCACTAAAAGTATCATTATAATAGAGGTCTCCATCCCTAACAGACACCCTTATCATTAACATGTCCAAGTTCAGGTAGAGAGTGAAACTTCAATCTCTATGTATCCAAGGAGGAACTTGTTCTGTATCAGCAGTACTATGGCATATGAACAAACTGGAGCTGTTAAAGCTTTGGAAGGCGATTTAGCTTTCAAGAGCCTCCTTCAAGGCCAAATAATCCAGATAGCATAAGACAATGCCACAGTATACTAGTATTTGTATACTAACAAGCAAAGAGACACCAATTCCAACTCACTTTTGAACATCATATTGTAGATACAGCATCCAGTATTCAAGTTTTACTGTAGCCATCCATGTACCAGGAGATAACAGTTCTTGACTGACCACTTCATCCAAGCTTGAATGCAATTTCTGTACCACACTGATGGTTCTCTTCCAATGCCACTGTGGCGATCTCTTTGATTTAAAAAAAACCAAACAAACCATTTATTCCACTCACCACCAATATTACTTGAATTGTTTTTCTTCATAGAATAAGAGGACAGAAATGAGAGACAGAATGCTGATAACAATCCATCTCAAATCATCAAAACTTTCAAACAGTGGCTTCACAATAATATAGAGAAACAGTATCTCTAAAGACAATGGAGAGAAAGAATGGTTCTGTACCACCATCTTGATACTGTCCTTAGTAACAATTCTTCTTAGTCTTACTCTGAAAAAAATAACTTTAAAGGCTATAAAATTATTTCTGAGAAATCCAAGGAAACATACTTCAAATACTTTGAAGAAGAGAGAGCCTCTACTTAGGCCAGTCCTCTCTAACCTGGTGGCCTTTGAATTCATTCAAACTATAAGTATTGGATTGCTATTTATGTCAGGTATAGTTGTTTACTTTGAATGAAGGAGATATTTAGTTCATAGAAGCATATCTAAAAATAATAATAGAATTAGAGTTTATCAGTTTTATTCTTTGTAGGATAAACCAAATTCATGCAGATAGTGACAACATAAGCAACATTTTAGTTAACATTTATAAAATTATTAAGAAAGATTAAATTATTTCAGAGCAAGCAATTCAAAGGAGTAACTTATGAGTGCATGTTAGTCAGCATGTATATTAAAAGTAAACATGAGATTATTAGTTGATAAGAAATTTAAACAGTTCAGTTGTCTGGTAAAGTAAAGGCATGTTGGATAATGTTTGTATCTTTTTTTATTTAACTGAATTTCCACTTAATAGCTTTCAGGAAACAGCTTTTTATAAATTTGCATAAATCAGTAAGCAGACATGCAGATACTGCATTTGAATTGTGAGAATATATTCACATTTTGATGATTACAAATTAATATTCAGTGTGGTCCACTGTTGAATTACAATTGATCTTTAGTATTACCAATTTGATAATGGGTTATTAAATAATATGTAGTATTTATGGCAAAAATCTGGATTGTATTTGTTTGTTATTATGGTTGTAAAAAAGTGCGTGTGTATGTGTATTCATCAGCCATATATCTGCTAATGTTCACAAGAAACACAGGAAGAAGAGAGAGAAATCCCTGATCTCTAAGTGTCTCTTGAATTTTTTATCCAACTGATTATTTTATCATAACTGCAATCTTATCAGGGAGTAAAATTGTATTTTAAACATTATGCCCAGGGTTTGCTGTTTTAGGTTTAAAGTTCTTGGTTAATATACTTATTTTTTTATTTCTAGTGTAAGACTTTATCTAGCGTCTGTGATCATATAATCTCACTTTCATCTGATCCCCTCGTGTCTCAATCTGCTCACCTGGAAGTGATCCAGCTAGCAAACATCAAGCCAAGTGAAGGGCTGGTAAGGTGTACAAAGTTAATCAAAACTTCATCCAGGATGGAAGAAATACATTTTCTGAATAAAATGTTTATTTGGCGTATCTAGTCGGTTTATTGCAGATTTTTGTGATGCAGTCAGAACACCATGGTCAGTATTGCATGTTAGCAGTTATTTTATAAAATCTTCAAGAAAATAGTATCAATTAAAACTATCTTTAAGGTACTGTAGTGGATTGTGTTCTGCAGTTTTCTAGAATTGGTTTTCAAGTTTAAATTACAGAATACTGTACGCTTTATTGTGTCTCTGATAATATATTCATAATTTATGGAGGACATTTCACTAAAGTTTACAGAATATATGAACTGAATGTTACCATGATCCTGATCATATTAGGAAGAAAGCTTGCAAATCTGCAACACATTGTATATTGCCGTATAATTATTGAAGCATGGAATGAAATAACAGTTTCACTAAAATTTATGAGATTTCTTCAAAGTTAATATGTTCAGGAATTAATATAATAATTTTATTGTATATTTCTTGCATTTTATATAATACTTGTGAGGTGTTCTAAGACTTTAATTTAGATTGAATAAATAATCCTAATTAATTATGAAAATGCCTTTTATATAAATTTGCTTATCCTAGATATATTGATATCATTGATACTGCTTTCCCCAAATATTGTTGATTTTAACTTCCTCACAGTTATGCTGGGTCCGTAAATTTGTTATGAAACAAAGAATAACACCACTTTTAATTTTATTGGATATGTTTTGGTTTCACCTAAAATATTTTAAGTCTTGAAACCATTGTTTTTTAAATTTGGCAATATCTTTTGCACTCAGTCTCACCTCCAATCTGCCTTCTACTGTTCTATTCTGCAGTCCCTTGTTCTAAATCTTGTATTTGTCTCAGTGTCATGATAGCATATTAAAGTCATTTTCTATTCCACCGTCTGTAATTTATTCCATGTCCCATGTCATAATATGATTAAAACTGTTTGTACTTTCATAATTTCATTGGATATTTGTACAGCTTTCCTAATTCAGATCTTCTTTAAAAGTCTCTCCTTTCAGAAGTGCTTTTTAAGAGATGACAAAATTCTCTTTTTAATTGTAAAGGTTCCCCCCCACCCCCGTTTCTGTCACAGCTTTTCTGCTATTTATTTCTTTAGATTTTAAGGCTGTCCTTGTACAGAAATACTTATTAATGGTTTGGTTGTACTGTATATACAGTATACTGTATATACAGTATATACTGTATATTCTCTAAGTAAAAAAAAAATAAATCAGAATGGATTTTCAGTTTTGTTTTTTTTTAATTAGGTTATATGTTCTTTTCCAAATGTATTCTGTAAATTATTTTGAGCAGTGGTCACTATTTTACCTATTTCTTGCTGAAACATGTTATTTTGGAATCAAATAGTGAGTTGTAATATTAACCTTTTATTAGCCTAGTAATGAAAAATATTTTATAAGTGATATTTACATAAACTGCTTAATGTTAAAAATAATTAGAATGAAAGAATAATGATTCACATTTTCTTATAATTATTACTGATACTTGATGGTTTTTAAAGGGTCTTTTAGCATTTCTTACATAGGAAGTTCAAGTAAAGGAGCTGTGTAATCAAACTTCACACAGAGTTTTGTTTTATCTGAAAGTTATGTATCATTGCTGTCAACTTGGAAGTTCTGATAGCAGTAGAGAAATAAATTACAAAGAAAACATAATGTAAAGAAGATATAGCAAGGAATTTGTATGAAACTTCTTAACATGAAAGAATTACAGTGCAGAAATGAAGGCAATTGAAATTAATGTTATGGCTGATGTTATATGTTATATGGATCAAATAATGGTAAAAGCAAGAAGGAAAGGATAGAAAAGTGAACAAAACACTCAAGCCATGTAAAAAAAATTAAATGCACTTCAGTTTCAATTTTTTAGTACATTATTCTATTGCTTTAATTCCCACAAACATTATTGTGGTATCAGTGTAACGATTAAGGCATGAAGTAGTTCTCAGGCCAGAAATGGCCATCATGTAGAAGTATAGCAACCATTCATTTCAAGGCTACCAAGAGCCATACCAAGTATTCATTAATGGGTAAGGAAGAAACCATGACTTTAAAACCCCGAGGCTATCAAAAGTCATTGCACCTTTTCACTGGCAATCAAGTGTTGTGTATGGTTTCATTCTTCTCTGCAATAAAGATTTTAATTTTGCTGAGCCGTATCTTCTGTCAAGTCAAGTTGAGGAATCAAGTTATGCCGTCAAGTATCAGGAGATATGAGATTTACTGCCAAGTCCAGGTTGGAAAACTTGACAATTAGGACTTATTAATTTAGTGTACCCAGTTGATATATTAAAAATAAATTGGATATTTTTGCCCAATAGAACTGGTATTGAATGTGCTATGTATATTAACAATATATTGGCTGTGAATGTTTGAAGAATTCATAAGCAGTGTACAAAATCTTTTGTATCAGATCTTGTAGAATTTTAAGAAATAGTCATAGAAGTACTGAGTTTTCAAGATTCCTCATATGTAATCAATTCACAGAAATTTTCCATCAGCTGAGTAGAGATGTTAATATCTGTAGGAGGAGGTTTCACTGGTTTAATTATAATGTATTGTGCTTCTTCCATTTTGCTTCTAAAAATAAGAATGTTATTTGTTTAGTTGATAAAGCAAGTGCTTACTGATTCAGTGATTTGCCTGTGCATTTTCATGTGTGTGAAATAATAGGATTTGCAATGTTTCAAAAACAAATTAATTTTTACATACTTCAGCTGAGCCATTTTATAGGTCATGGATGGGCAATCTTTCCATCTCAGGAAGTGTGTGTGTACATACATGCCAGATTCATTGGCATGTGCACATGCCTCTACACACACATATACTTGTTTTTGACACTTACACACCTTAAATTTTGGTTTGGTACCTTTTAAAATGTTGTGTTAAGTGTCATATTCTAACTTATTTTAACAAGTCTCTTGTAGGACAGAATCTTATAAATGTTTTTCAAATTTATTGTAATGTATTTTGATAAATAAGTTTGGATAAATATTTTATATCTTCTGAAGCACATCTTAACGTTTAAAATATTGTTTTCATTATTTTACTAGTAAAATTAAGTTATACAGCATTGAATTTTCAGAAGGCTAAATATATTGTTTTGATGAACAATAACAAAATGAAGAATTTTGTAGGATCAGGCAGAGATATGAGGATATGAATATCATGAGCAATCATGGTCTAAGTCTTCTTCCAGTGCAAGTCTCTGGTGGAGTGTGGGGTGGGGTGGGTCTTTGAATCTCCTAGATATGTAGTGATTTTTACTTCATCTATCCAATTGCCCTGGTATCCTTTCCTGTTGCCCATAGATGGTGCCTTCCAAGGTTAGAAGAGTCAGTCATAAAATCTGTGTGTGTGTGTGTGTGTGTGTTGGAGTGTGCATGTGTTGGGTGTGTGTGTGTGCGTTTGATATTTATGATTACTTCTATTTTTTGTAAGTTTTAGTTTAAGCTTTTTCACATTTGTCTACAGTCTACCATAAAGAATAATTTTACAAAAGCACTTATATATAGTTCTTCTGCAGTTGATTTTAAAAATTATATATTAATCTTTTATAAAATTTTATGCTCATCTTTTGAGATTTTCTTGCAATATTAAAAATATTAGTTTTTTTTATAAATATTCTGTTCTATTTTTCATTATGGTACCTTTATCTCAAGCATAGTTTTTAAGTTTTCCCCTCTATCAGTTTGAATGTTATGGAAGTACTATTTGTTTCACGGCAATACAAGTGAAACATTTGTTCTCTGGAATTACAAAAGTATTATAAAATTATACATATATCAAATATATTTTGTTATTATATAAGAAGGCATAAGGTTTGTAGAATATATCATCTAGAGTGTAATCATTTAGAGCAAAGGTATTTCATAAAGGAGACATGTACCTGTCTGTGCAGAACACTGTGTATATTTATTGTTTACTTATTTTAAAGACTTATATGACCACCCTTTTTAAAACACAACTCTGGGTGGCTCAGGACACAATGAAAATTTTTAAAAAATCAATGGAAACAATAAAATCAAAACATGGCACCTCAGCCATCCTTCTCCAAAGCATCCAACAGAACCATCCCTTTACTGCTATAGATGGCATGCTTCTAGGTCCCTCTAGATGTCAACTTTTAAGGGAAGGGACCTGGAGCTGCACTGCCACCCTATCTGACGTGATAGAACAGGCAGATATACTCAAGAAGAGGGATTCCACAGATGTAGGGATTTAAAGATGGTAACCAGCACCATGAATTGCTCCCAGAAAGAGACTGGGACCCAGTGCAGGTCATGCAACAGTGGTGTAACATGGGTGAACCATATGGGTGTATGTATGTGTGTATAATAGAAAAAAATGAGGGGGGGGGTTGAGAAAAAGAAAGGAAATAAAACCCAGAAAAAGGATAAATATTTTTGTGTTGAATAAAACTAGACTTATTGAAGAAAACCTGCCATTTATATAATTACTAAATTTAAGTCAGTTAACAACAGAAAGAACATTGAGAATTAAGCATATAAATCAGTACATGCGTTCAGCATTTGTAGGTAGTCCACCAAAAGAAGCATGCAAATATAAAAAATAGATGAATGCTTTGGACTACCATATAACTGGTGAAGAATGGGTGTCCTAGTATTGTGACTGGCTGTAGATATGCATGCTATATCTAATTCCATTGTCTGAAGTTAATTTGTCAAATCATTGATATGTAAGTCAAAAGAATGTAAACATCTACTCAAAAGATTAGTTATTAGACTTAGTTTAGCTGATTGCCTCAGAAAATTTATTAACTGATTTAATATGTGTTCAAAATGGCATTACACACAGTTCTACTAGATTCCTTGATGTCTTCACATTATAGTATCAGATAATACAAAATATTAGATATTTAATTCAACTTATATGTTATAAATGTAGGATCCAAAGGCATTTCTTTTAAGTGAAAAATATTCTGATTAAGTAAAAAAGAAATAAAATTATTTTCTATAACTTTGAAAAGTTATTTCAATATTTCATTGAAGTATTATTTAATAAGAAAATTAAGGCCATTACAGTTACATGCAGTGTATCTGAAGAGTTTGATCCATTTTGGGAATATATATAATTTATTTTGCATATCTATCTATCTATCTATCTATCTATCTATCTATCTATCTATCTATCTATCTATCTATCTATCTATCTCATAATGACAATACTTCAGGGAAAGTTGTCTGCTTTTGAGTAGCCTGGTTTGCTTGATATTTCTCTCTCTTTCTCTCCCCTCCCCCTCCCCACTTATGTTCTTATTACCACTGAGTGGCAACATAAAACTGGGCCTACTTATTCCAAAAAAAGATGGATTTCATATTACTTGAAAAATCTGTCTGTGTGTGTGTATGTATCTCCTTTAACTAGGTTCAGTTTTCAGATTTTCCTGTTCAGAGTTCTACTTTTAATCAGCATGTTTATTTTGGTAATAATTGTTTTTATAACACTGACTTTTATCTTACCAACTCCTTATTGTGTCTGTGCATGTGCCTGCATGTAAGCACATACATATGTTATCACTTTTACATACATTATTTTGTGCAAAACAAAAGCACACCCCCACCACCCACTTCTACGAAACAGATTTTAAAGCTAAATATTAAAACCCTACAAAACTACTGCAACTTTCCCCACTCAGATCATTATAAATCAGACAGCGTGCAGTGATATGTGGGCAGAAAGGAACAACATAGAAAAGATGAAAAAAATGTTAACAGTGACACCAACTGTACTGCTTTTTCCAAGAACTCAATATCTGGCACAGACTGGTTCAAAAGTAATGATTCTCTAGTTTCCTCCCAGCAAGATAAATAAATAACAATGGATCATTTCATGTTTAAGCTCTAGTACCTAAGGTGTGCCATCTCATGTTAAAATTACCACTGACATGACAAAATAATAATTGTTTTCTAAAAATAGCAACAAAACATTTCTACAGAAATGGAAGAAGAGCCTCCATTGCAGATTTTAAAACTTTTGGAGTTATATTGCATTTACTTTATTAGGCTGCCATCCTGAGTTCATCATAAAACAGGTTAATGAAAAGAGCTAGGGCTAGTAGCTTCCTAACAAAGCATTCACACACACACACACACACACACACACGCAGACACAGAAGAATAGGTCCAAAATCAAGTGCCTGTTAAAACAAAAAGGAAGGGAAACAAAGGAGAAATTCTCTAGCAAGTCTTGATGCAGGGCAATTATCATGAAATAAGGCATCAAAGGAAGGTCTGTCATGAAGAATTCTATAAAATCATGTTGCAGGATTCACCAAATACTCATTTTTAGAAATTTATAAGCAAAATGGCAGTTCTTGTGGATAGAAAATAAGTACCAAGGTGTAACTATTCAAGAACAAACAAACCTTAACTTTTAACTATTTAAATATTAGTATAAATAATATGGAGGACAAGAGGTTTAGACTGAATGCTTATTTATTTATTTTAAGCTAACATATCTCCTCAGCAAACCTGAGCTGTGCTTTCTTCAGTTTTCTCCCTGAAAACATGGAGCAGAGGGCACTTTCTTCTAATGGATAGTCCTCAGTCTCAAGTTAAAAAAGAGTTAGATCACTGTGTTATGTTAAGACAGAACAGAAAAAAAGATGATAATAACAATTTTTTAAAAATCCCTCACAGAACAGAGCTAGTAAAAAAGAAAACAAAACACCTTAGAATCAACATGGGACAAAAAAACATTTAACAGATATAATCTGAATAAAGAATATGTGAAGAGAATTTGACAGGATTCAGTAAAGAGAAGAATTAGTGTTGTTTATGGGACACATCGAGGGGTCCTTAAAGCAGATTTTAAATAATGGTACAAATTTTAAAAATCCAGTTAATCATTTTCATCAAAGAAAAACGAAAGGTGAGTCCATACTTCTCATTCTAGAGTCTTGTCAAAGGAAGGTTGGACAGTGATTATAGGTATGTGAGAAGATGCACAGAAATATTTTTTTCCAAGTTGTTTTTACTACACCTTCTTTTAGTGTTCTTCTTCCCCACCAGCAGGAGAGTCAACACTCTCTGGCCATTTTTATTTACCAGGGGTATAGCAGAACACATAAGTGGATGTTTTAGTTGTTCAACTAATTATATTCATGAATTGAACAGAGTAAAACTGGACAATCAGCTTCTTCAGCTAGCACCCAAAGCTATATAGCAATCATACATTTAAAAATATTAAAATCATAGACAGACTGGATCTGTCATCTAGTAAATGTATCAACGGGTACTGTAAAAATTAGATGGAAAACGTAATCTACATTTGCATCAGTATGAATTTGGAAGTTTATGTTTACTTTAGGCTTTATATTCATTTGAATACGTGGGAACATAGTAAATTACAAAGAACAATACAACTTTTTTCAGTAAATTTCACAAAATGAAAGTATTTTATAGGATTGTCCTGTTAATTTTGAAAGAAATGTATTTAATATTTTATTGAGAATTTTTAAAATTTCAGTGTTGAACTACATGTATCAACTTATTAAATATCAATTTCACACTGTTCTTGAATCAAATTTATAACTTTACAAAATAATAAATGCTTACATGTATTAGAAACCTTTTTATTGATCCTGTTAGTAAGTAGAAAGTTCACAGATTATGATTTGCCATGTTTTATAATAATTCTTTGTTGTGTAATCACTCATTTTTTGTTTCAATCAGCATGCATTTCAATGAACATGTTTATTAAAGTATTGTATTTTAAACCCTATGAAATCAGTACATGCTTCTTATTTTATTGAGGAGCAGTTGACCCCTTTTTTAATCATGAAATGACGGCCTGACTTTTTACAGCCTTTTCCCAACCTCTTTTATGATGATTCCTTAAAACTTTGGATTTTTAAAAATGGCTCCCTTAAGATATAATTTCAGATCACTGTAGGAAACTCAATATAGCTTCCCCCTACCATGAAACCAAATGTTGTGCAGCTTAATGTGATTGACACAACTGAGAAGTATGCATGATTTGATTCCGTACACATGGATTTGCCCTTTATTTTGGATTGTGTATAGTTTGTAGTGCTGTACCTATAGATTGTACTTATAAAAGTGAGACTATATGTCCAGCTCCAGAGTAGTAGACATGAACATGCTGCTATATGGAAGTTATTTTAAATAATTCCATGGTTCATTACAGTTGATGCCTGAAGATTGCGAATATACTTCATGTCACACAAATCTAAGCCAGATGATGAGTCATTACAAACGAATGAATAGCATCCGAAGATAGCTGCCACAAAGTTTAAACTAGTTTTCACCTGATATACATCAGTTTTGGGGTGGTTTTTTTGTTTTGCTTTGGATGGAATCACTTTTTTATTATTCAGAGTAGTATTCTAGTACCACTCAACTGTTAGCAGATAAATTTTAGACAGATGAGAAGTATATATTGGATGGTAGTATGCAAAAACTTTTCAAATTCTTTCCCATGATGTCTTTTTCTTAGGGTATGTACATTAAATCTACATATGATGGTCTCCATGTAATTACTGGAACAACAGAAAATGTAAGTATTGATAATAAATTTTGCTGAGGTCTGGAGCATTTTTAAATTTAACTTTAGATTAAGTTACCCCTGTCCTTGCCTATGTTAATTGCAAAGGATCAAGAATATATTTAGAAAAAGAAGGGCTGCTTATGGGGAAAAGAGCTTGAAACAACTTGTATTAAACTGATGAGAAGTTTAGTCTGTTGAAGGGATGTAAAATCTTTTGTTTTCTTGTCATATAAGATATGCTTGAGGGTTCCTGGTGGACTTTTGTGATAAAGTAAAATGTCTTTTCCATTTCATCAGGATTATCATACTTAAGATAAAATATTAACAGCTAAGGTGTAAGCTTTCTTAATAGAAATGTTCTTGGCACTCTTTTATGTTTAGAATTTTAGTCTTAGAGATTTTTATACATACATACATACATACATACATACAATTAATACACACACACAGCTAATTCATCCATAGTTCACCCATGGACACTCTACTGTATTAATCTATTTTATAGTATAGTATGGTAGTTGGAATTTCAGAAACTCTCCAGCTCTCATCTAAAGTTACTTGTGCAGTTCACATAATAATACAAAACAGGTTGATTTGTTACTAATTTATGCATAAAACATTCCAAATTGCTCCTTCACTCCTATATCACACACCTGGAAGATGACTATCTATAAATTGTAAGGGCTTACTGTGTCATGCAAATGTAGTACACTGGAAACTTCCAGTGGGAATAAACAAAAGAGGGTGTCTATAGATCATGAGAAGTTTATGAAGATGTCCTTTTCCACAAGTTCCTTTTGCACGAATTTTACACAATACAGTATCCTAAATCCTGTGACTGGCTGACTTCAATCCACAAACTTGAGGGGAAGAGTAGTTCACTGCACATAGGGATGTGGCTTGTCATATCATGTGATATGAACATTGTCTTCTTAAATAGGAATATCATTTAATTTTGGAGCTAATAAAGACCTAACTTCTTTAAATATAAACTATTCTAACTCCCATCCTAGCAGCCATCATAGGGTTTCTTTTTCTATGGAAGCTCCTTATTGAAATATTAATTTTCAGATTATCAAAACTAGAGAGCCCCTCCCTGTGTACCCATGGATGCTTTCTACAGGTGTTTTACTGAATGTATATACTGTAAGTGAGACTGAAAGCTTACTCCTACAGTTCTCTCACCTCTTTTATATTATTTGAATCCTCATGAGTGGTTGAGAAGGGCTACTAACACTCTATTTTTAAGTCAGCATAATACACATGAATGCCCACTCCATTTCTCTTTTCTCAGTTTATATTACTTGGTTAACATTTCTCCTAGGGTAGAAGTGATATCAGACCAAAGTATCTGCGTTGCCCCTTCATGTACATTACATGACTGATCAGATAGATACGTATGAACCTAAGCAAAACTGATTGGGTCCAAAGCTAAATGAGATGGTAGGGAATTGCAAGTATGTGGGTGAATATGTGTTTGTAGAAGAATCACGTGGACTGTTAGCCTTGTTTGTTTTTCTTCTGAAGTAGTTTTTTTTTTTTTTACCAGAATGACAAATCATTGGCTAAATGTCTTTTATATACACTATGTGTATATTGCTTCTTTGAACTGCTAGTAGCAACATGCTTACATGAACAGTTATTAGAAAGACATTACTGTCAGCATCTCTTAAAATATATATATATATAACAAATATAAGATATTCACCCATTCTTGATAAATACAAGCATTTGTAAAAGGAACATACTACTTATAGCCTTAATATATAATGAATGGATTTATTCAGAAAGAAATTGATTTATATTTGGGCAGAAATAAGTTATGTTTTTGAAGTTTGATTTAATAAGTGGCACTCACCAGCATTTAAGAGGCTACTTGTGAAGTATAACAAGATTAGGTACAATTATCCTTTTTGTAGATAAGAAAAATCTATTACTGCAATTTAGAAATAATTATGCACAATCATAAGCAGAGTAATTCAAAGTCATTTTAGATGCACTGGAATATTGTAGAATTTGACATATCATCCCTTAATGCTTTTTATTGTTTTCAACCCGGCAGAATGTTGGAAAGAAATTATGTAAAGTGAGTTGGAACTTTGTCCAGCAGCACAATAACCCTCTGAAAATTGAAGAGAATGGGACCAAATTTGGTGTGGGAAGAGAGGCTGGGCAAAAAAAAAAAAAAAGTTAAAATGTGGGCCAAATCAGACTGGTGCTTGGAGGAAAAAAGAAGACAATCCTCCAGTGCTTCTGTATGAGACAGACCCTGGGCAGTGACTTGGAATATTGGCAACTGCTCCATTCTAAGTCTTCCTTCCTCCCAGTCACATGATCTAGAACAGAGCATATGCAGTTTTCCATGTGTTTCCCAGGTCATACATATACACAAAGATATTGCTGGTAAAGGACTTAGAAATAATTCAAAGTCATATTTACGTGCTTTATTTATTTTATTTTTATCAAGTGTTAGAATTTGTAAGTGGTGCTATAAATTACTGTTAGGATAAGCCTTGCTTTTGTCTTTTTAAAATATATTTTGTAATTTCCAAATAGGTTCAGCAATCCTGGGAAATACAGAAATTGTATAATGAATAGCAAAACTATATAGAGCTCTGTCACATTAATAAGAATCCTCTTATTATATTTTAAGATCAGTTGCAATGTAATTAACTTTTTAAACCACTTGAAGTTGATGGTTCAACTGTACAACTAAAACTAATTTTAGTTTTCTCCATTTCTTGAGAATATATGTATATTTTTAGCTAATTTTTACTTAACTGATTCATAATAATTTATTATGAGTATTTTTATTAAAAGTTACAGGTCGAAGGTATCATTTTAGAAGAGGTTTTATTTCTTTTTTCTCAGATAGGATGGAATCTCTTCACTTACTACTGTGTCCTAAAAATTGTGAAAATTTACGTTATCATTGCAACAATGACAAAACTTATTATGGAGACCAAAAGTCAGATACAACAAGAAAACAGTAAATTGATCACTTACAACTAAATAATTTATCTTTGGCATTTTTTTAAAAAGAATCCAAACTTTAGATGGCAATTTTAGCATCAGAATCTGAAAAAAAAATGCTTTCAAATAATAGAAATTGAATAGAAGCTTTTGTATTATGAATTTTCTATGGGAAGATATTATGGTGAAACATATTTGTGTTTTTATGGACTAGGAATATATGCAGTAAACTTTAGGAAAATATATATTATAGCCTATTTGAAAATGATATGTCTTACTGTCTTATTGGTAAGAAATTTTGTGTAGGCTATATAAAATGCCTTTTGCTTTTAAAATGTAGTATATCCCATTTAAGTGGTTCTGATATTTGTTGCATTCAGGGAACTATTTCCATTTATTTGTCTCTTCTAGATGTCCTTCTTCTACAATCTGTGGGATTCTGTATTATAAATGATTCAATATGCCCTTTCATTTGGGATACATTTAGTGTGTCTAAATGGAATGCATGTGATATGCTCAGCACTTTCTTTACTCAGTGGAGGGAAAATCAGTGATGTCAAGGAGTTGGCTTTCAGGTAGTTAATACAGAGGACTGAAAATCACCCTGATTTGCTCACAAATCCATGAGTGTGTTATTGTTTCTTTGTAGATATGTTGTGGTTGTGAATCTAACTTTCCTTCCAGCCCCTCATACCAGACTATTAATCCATATCTCCATATAAAGGGCAGCCTTTCATGCTAGGCATTCTGTATGCATCCTCACAAGGGAGAGGTGCTTTGGTCATGTACAGAATGGGAGATAGGAAAGGCTGATTATTTTAAAACAAATTGTAAAAATATGTGGATTGAGGGCTGGAAAAATTGTGGACTTTACCATTTTCCTAGCAGCCCCTGATGAAAATTGAATTTCCAAGAGTCTGGGGAAGTCCAGGTAATTGGTGCAGAGGAAACGTGTGTTGCAGGAATGGTTCTATTTCTGTAAAAATTGGCAAAAATATTTAGCCAGGAATTTGTACTAGATTGATTTATGTTTGCTATGTAGTACTAAAGACCAGAGTTCTTATTGTTTCATGTTCTTATTTCTATGTACTAGAAATTATGTTTTTATTTATAGAATTGCCTTGTAATATGTAATATTAATTTATGTAATTGATCTAGTTATGTAATCTATGTGACTGAGTAATTAATTTATGTCATATATTAACATTACTCTCCATCCTATAATTTTTTTTCCTTTATGGAAACTTTGGGGTAGTTAATACACATTTATAGCAGATAAACACCATTTTGTGGTCTGTCAAGGGCACTGGATTTTCTTGGTTTTTTTTGTTTTTACTTAAATTGTCAGCTGATTTGGGCAGCTCTATAATTCACATTTTTAGATATTGTGTGTTTGCATTTCTTATATTTCAGGTTAAAAAGGGATTTTATATTTCATCTTTCATTTTGTAAAATGAAGTTTTTATTTTGTTTTCCTCTTGTAAGATTGATCTGTCTCCCAAGAGAGAAGAAGGGCTTTATCCTCTAGACACTATGCCTCTACATTACATGGCCAGGAGGTTGCAGTATTGAAATTATTTCTACTTTTTGGACACTTAATTACTAGAAAAGCAGCGCAGGATATGAAAGGCTATCTCTCATACACATCAGGATTAGGCAATACACATCAAGTGAGGGCTCCCCAGAACACAGCTGGTAGCAACATAAATAATAAGCCACTATCCCAAATCTGGAAGAAAGGATAGCATGTGAAAGGCTTCTGGGAAAGGAAGTTTGAGACCTCCAGCCTTGCATCTTATGGATTCAGCTGGTTTGCTACAGCTTGTGAGATTTCCTTTCACTAGCTGATACTACTACTCAAGCAAAAAAGTTTCTAGCCAGCCACATTTCTGAATGGGAAATCACCCTCATGAAAGGGGCTTCTAGGTGACTTCAAATAGTGCTATATGCCCTATTTCTTGCTGGGAAATTATGTTTGTTTGTTTGTTTGTTTGTTTATTTATTTATTTATTGTTAAATTTGTATGCCGCCTGTAGTAAAACCCAAGATTATACAGGAACGTTAGCTATCTTCTAATTGAATATTTTAATTTTTAAAATTTATTTGATATATACCCTATGTTTCTATTCTAATAAGTATTCAATGTGGTTACAAATAGGTATATAGATATACAAATTAAAATGAAGAGTAAAATTAATACTAAAACAATTAAACAATTAAAAGGTTGCCAAAAAAAGATGTGTTTTTACAGATTTTCGTCAGTGTTAAGATAGTTGACATTAAACACGATTCCTATTAGAAGGGCAATCCACAGTCAAGGAAAATAACTAAAGTAAGGATAACCACTATATCTGACCAGTTCAGAAGAGTTTAACTTTGCACAGCCTCCATCTGTGAATCCAGTAACATCTGAGGCTTAGGGAACATTCCAACACTGTGAACATGTTCTTGCCAGGAGAGCTAACTAAAACAAGTTTACCTTAATTTTTGAATCCAGTTTCCTATTTATTAATGGTCCTTCCATTTTTCTGGATTTATTTTCAGCTAGCTCACTATTAGGAAATGTTAAGATACTGATTGCTTCTTTACAGTTGGATAGTAAGGAACCGTAGAGCATTTCAAAACTGCAGTTGATCTCCCCAGCTGCTAAATTTAAATATTGAACATCATGGATGGAACACTTGGAGACACCACAGGTCAAGGGCTTAGCTCCCAGTACTTTCTTCTGGAAATGGCCCACAAGCAACAAGACTTTTTAAGGCCCAATCCCATCTAGGCAAACTAGAATGTACAGTGATACCAAAAGCTGCCGCAAAGTCCAAAGCTATGAATATCATACTCCCCTCATCTTGTTTCTGATTTTATCCACTGAAATGACCAAAGCAATTTAGTATCATATTTCTACTAAAAGACCTGAGGAAACTATAAGTCATATACAGTATATCTGGACCTCTTGGTCATCTTTCACAGAAATTGAATGTTGGAGCTTATATCTAGTCTGTAATTGATCAGATCTAAGTCAAGGGAAAGTTTCTTCAGTAGAAGTGTTATTAATGCCTCATTTAGGCAGAAGGGAGCATAGCTCTACTGTGAGAAAGCATTGATTACCTCTTTTAGCTTTAAGATTAATTCACCCTAGCTGATTTAATCAGTCATGAGAGATAAGGGTTGATTAAGTATGCAGTAGCCTTTATCTTTTCATACATCCTGTTCACATCTCCATGCTCTACAAGCTAAAATGGATTTAAAATAACAAGACAAAAGGTTGTTGAAGTCACATCCTTGCCTCAACACTGAAGTCCAAGTCTAGATGGTTCTGATCAGCTTTCTTCGAAGAACAAAGCGGTTTGCCTATAGCATGCCACTGGTCTGTTCCAATTATTATTTCAGCAGTGTGGAATAATGGTAAGGATGTCAGACTAGGACAGGAAGGCCCAGGTTCAGGTTCACCTTAGAATCACTTGCCATGCAGACCCACTGAGTGACTTGGACCAGTCACTTTCTCTCAGTCCATCCTATCTTGCAGAATTGTTGTTAAATGAAGAGACATTCCCCCCAAGGCCACTTTGAGCTCCTGGCAGAAAGGTGGGGTATAAATCTAACAAGCAAACAAAACATCTTGGGGAATATTTTGCAGTATAGAAAAAGGCATTATTTGGTGTATATTCAATTAAGGTGGAGATGTAAGCCTTATTTGCCACTTCCACTATAGCAGTGTAGGGCTTCAAGTAGGTTTTCAAATGGACCGTGTTAAGTGCTCAATTGATCTGTTCCATGAAGTCCTCTTCCTGCTTCTCAAATCAATATTTCACCCACGTTATTGCTTTTAGTTCCTAGTAAACCAAGAGACTGATTTGGTTCAGCAAGGGGAAGAGATAATTAAGGTGTAAAAGTTTTATCTGCCTGGGTCTTCTTCATATTCCACATATCAGTCAATCAGTTCATTAACAGTTAATATGGGAGAGTCCTACAAGGATATACATAAAGCAGTCTGCATTCATCAGGAGCCTGAGTTGAAACATTTTAACCAGTCCTTCACTCCAGCATAAATTTATACCAGCTATCAGTCTCGGTTACCAGGGAGTGAGCTGTCTATGACAGTAGATTTAGGCTCCAACAGCTCCACCTATATAGAAAACCAAATCCAAATGTATACTAGTTAGGTTAGGTGCATAGTTATAGACATAAATTCATCAATCATTCCTGACTGGATAACTTCAGTGGGGCTACTGAAATATTTCAGGACAAGGAACTTAGAGTAATCCAATGTCAGATTATCCCAGCTAAATCAGGAAGAGAGACTCTTAGGCATCAAGTACATTGGTGAACATAAGCAGTATAAAATCCAGTAACAAGCACTCAGAACTGATTATTGAATGGAGTATCTGATCAGTGAGATAGAATTCCTATGTCCACCCAAATCTTAATTGCTGTACAGTACCAAAAAGTAGATAGCAGATGAACTAAGGGAAACGAATACTCTTTCCCACTTCAGCCCAGTTTCTGAATTACATATGTAGTTTCATTCAGGATTAAATACAGCAACCCACCTGAGACTGAAGAGCAAAACTTTTTCAGTTGGAAATGCTACCATCATTGTAACATACTGCTTCTGTTAGGTTGAAGTCTATAGTTCTGCCTTCCTCCTGTTTGGATTTTTAAGCAGATACTAATATTATCACTGAAGCAATGAGCATGAAACTGAGCAAACTCAGGGAGGCAGTGAAGGACAGGAAGGCCTGGTGTGATATGG